TATGTGTTGTTCCTTTCGCTCTAATGCAACTTAAAGGCTATTTTTTTTTTAGTTTAGTTAGGGTTAGGGTTGGGTCAAAGCCAACCTTGAACATCTGGACACTGCACTTTTGTGCCATTCATCCTTGCATAATTGTCAAGTTACACAGGGATCGTGAGTGGCAACTCCAGAACATTCACCCGACTGTCTTTAAATCATTTCTGTGCAGTGTTGGCTGTACGTTTCAGGTCATTGTCTTACGGGAAAACAAATCATCTCCCAAGTCACAGTTTTCTTGCAGGCTGCGTCAGGTTGTCCTCCAGGTTTTCCTAATGCTTTGCTGCATTCATTTTACATTCTACCTTTACAACATCCCCACATCATGATGCTGCCACCACCATGCTTCTCAGTGGGGATGGTATGATTGTGATAATGTGCAGTGTTCAAACAGCGTCTAGTCTGATGGTCAAAAAGCAGACTTTTGGTCTGACACCACTTCTTTGCAGCTGGCAAATGAACTTCAGGTGCATTGCCGACACCGACTGGGCTGGAGTGGGTTCAGTGTTACCAGTTTTCCAGAAATTAGGAACTGATAAAGGTGCGATTAAATGTGTGGGGTTTTTTTTGTTTGGCCTTTTTGTCTTTATTGTATAGGACAGTGAAGAGAGAGACAGGAAAGTGAGGGAGAAGAACTTGCAGCAAAAGGCCATGAGTGGGATTTGAACCCATGGCTGCTGCATTGGGGACTATAGCCCCTGTACACGGGTTGCAGCTCAACCAGTTGAGCTATAGCGGCGGCCCAAATGTGTTATTTTTTTTTAACACATAGTTTTTTCTGTAATTAATTAATTGAAATTAACACGATAATGTCCCAGCCATAGTTGTTATTAAAAGTACCGTGCATGAAACAATGCTAAATGCTAATGCTAAAACTTTATACCCCAAGAAATCGTTGTCAAGAGATCGCTATGAAGAGTTTGGACATGACACAAGGTCGTCAGAGAAGAATCCTAGAATTTGTTGTATTTTTATTGTCATAGGGTTAAAAACTTTAGTTCTAAATTGGTCAGGTTATTCTCTATAATTGAAACACTAGAGGGTCTTTGCCTCACAATCTATATAAGTAAGGTTGAATTCTGCAATTTATAAAACCATAGGATCTTACCTTCAGAACTATCTTTGAAAATGAAAGCATACAAACATGATCAAGTAGGCCCCAAAAATGAAATTCTAAACCCGCAAATATGCCTAATATAGGCTCTGAAGTCTGTACCGTCACTCGTCTCCTGTGGTGTCGGATCCAGAGCTTGCCAGCCGCCCCATTTGTTGTTGTCTCCCAGGTCTCGTCGCTCCA